GTCTGAGTCTGTCTGTCCTCCGTCCGTCGGGGGTGAGTGTGCTCTTGGCACGGACGTCCTTGAGGACAGGCAGGAAGAGTTCCAGTGCTTTGCTGCTGCTTTACCTCATCTCGTGTCCATGCTGATTGCCCCTGAGGGAGACCCGGATGCACCAGACATCCCGACTCCGCGATCTTACGCGGAGGCGATAGAGGGTCCCTACTCCTCTCAGTGGCAGGCAGCCATGGACGCAGAGATGGCTTCCTGGAAGTCCACAGGCACCTACGTCGACGAGGTTCCCCCACCTGGGGCGAACATCGTCAGTGGCATGTGGATTTTCAGGGTGAAGCGGCCGCCGGGCTCTCCGCCTGTCTTCAAGGCACGTTACGTGGCTCAAGGCTTCAGTCAGCGGCAGGGAGTTGACTACATTCAGACCTTCTCTCCCACCCCGAAGATGACCACTCTTCGGGTGCTGCTACACATAGCCGCTCAGCGCGACTACGAGCTTCACTCTCTTGACTTCAGCACTGCTTTCCTGCAGGGCAGCCTGCACGAGGAGATCTGGCTGCGCCGCCAACCTGGCTTCACTGGGTCGTTTCCTCCTGGTACCCAGTGGAGCCTCCGGCGGCCAGTCTACGGTCTCCGCCAGGCGCCCCGTGAGTGGCACGACACACTGAGGACTACACTTGCGGCTCTTGGGTTTGCTCCTTCTACTGCCGACCCGTCGCTGTTTCTGCGCACCGACACCTCTTTGCCGCCGTTCTACATCCTCGTGTACGTCGACGACTTGGTCTTTGCCACAGCTGACACTGCTGAACTCGTCCACGTGAAGTCCGAGCTACAGAAGAGACACACGTGCACAGACCTGGGTGAACTGCGCAGCTATCTTGGCTTGCAGATCACTCGGGACAGAGCACAGCGCACCATTACCCTGACTCAGTCACACATGGTGCAGCAGGTCCTTCAGCGCTTCAACTTCACGTACTCCTCGCCTCAGGCCACACCTCTGTCTACTCGCCACTCGCTCTCAGCTCTGCCTTCGGATGAGTCCGTAGAGCCGAGTGGCCCGTACCCAGAGCTTATTGGCTGCCTCATGTACCTGATGACCTGCACTCGACCTGACTTGGCATACCCTCTTAGCGTCTTGGCACGCTATGTTGCTCCTGGGAGACACCGACCAGAGCTCATGGCTGCAGCGAAGAGGGTGTTGCGCTACCTCTGCAGTACGTCGGGCATGGGGCTCGTGCTTGGAGGACGGGCTCGAGTTGTCCTCACTGGTCACGCAGACGCTTCTTGGGTTGACGATTTGGCTACGCAGCGGTCGTCACAGGGTTACACTTTCAGCCTTGGTTTCGGCTCTGTTTCGTGGCGGTCTACCCGCTCGTCCTCTGTTCTCAGCTCTAGTTGTGAGGCTCAGATCTACGCTAGGGCCATGGCTGCACAGGAGTTGCGGTGGCTCACCTACCTGCTGACCGACTTGGGAGAGGCGCCTCGTTCTCCTCCAGTTCTGTACGTCGACAACAAGGCCATGCTGGCCTTACTGTATGTTAGGACCACAGACTGGAGCACAGAACGAAGCACATTGCTCTGCGCTACTTCCTTGCTCGAGAGTTGCAGCAGCGTGGTCAGCTTCGTCTTGCTTACGTCGCCTCTCGGGCCAACACTGCTGATATCTTCACCAAGGCACTTCAGCCTTGTGATAATCAGCGTTTCTGTACTATGCTAGGTCTTGTGCCTACCGGGCCTCACTTGCTTACCTCTTGACTTTGCTTGTACTGTGATCTATATATACCTGCGCCTGCATGCTTACCTTTGTTAGGCTGCGATCACTGTCTTGCTTGTTCACTTTGATTTATAATCCTGCATGTGAACCGACCTTGTGGCCTTGAACTTGTGCTCAGAATGTGTGGTGACGTTGTGATCCACCTTGAGCTTGACCTTGTCTTGTTCTCTTGCTTGTCCCCCACTTTGCCTATGGGGGTGTGTCAGAACCATATTGTAGGCTGTAGTGGGGTTGACAATATGGGGTACAACTTTTTTAGGTTTTCATATTTGTACCCACCTGCTTCCTAGTTCATTTCATTCCTCGTTATTATTCTCACAACAAAACCATCCTCACGAGAAAATGGGTCTTCCGTGTGAAGACAAAAGCCGACGGAACCATTGACAAGTTCAAAGCACGATGGGTCATGCGTGTCTTCGACCAAGAGCACGGACGAGACTTCACTGAGACTTTCGCACCAGTCAGTCGGCACACATCACTCCGAATTCTCCTCGCGATAGCCGCCATGAAGCGGAAGAAGCTCTGACAAATCGACGTCGCCAGCACTTTTCTCTACGCTCCCGTCGACGATGAGATCTCGTCGAGCAACCACACGGCTCTAACGCAGACCCCAACCAAGACTGTCAATTGCTGAAGTCCTTATACGGCATCAAGCAAGCTCCGAGGCTGTGGCAGCAGTACCTACACGCTCGGCTAATTCGCATCGGATTCCGCCAATTGCCCCACGACCAAGGAATGTACCGACTTACGAAGGGCGCCGACTACATCTTACTCATCGTCTACGTGGACGACTTGCTCTACATCGGCTCAACCGACGGCATCACAACCTGGTTTGAAGGGGAGCTGCAGCGGGACTTGCCGAATCCGCCTCTGCTAGGCTTGGTTGGCATGGCAGCAGCAACTTTTGCGAAGGAACTGCCGTTCTAGACCGTGGTGACAGCCCTCATAAGAAAAGCTGCGAAGAATCACATCAGTGTTTGGGCCATTGCGTGTATCTCATTAGTATTTAGGGTACATTCCGCTGTGGACACTGTCCCAATCGATGTGTCCCAATCGAGTGTACCGCTCCGAACCGAACTACCGGTAAACCAGAGACGCGGAAATTTCGAAACTAGGGTGCAATTCGGTGTAATACCGTGATCTCCCGGTTACAAGACCCCCCCGCGTACAAGCCCCGTGGGTCTTCTATCCGGACCAAGGGTCTTTTATTAAGTCAGTCCTGGAGAGGACCCGCCTTTTGACCCCATTCATTATAAGACCCCCCCTCTTTTGCATGGGTGGTGTTTAACCGGTGAGATGCTTAGCGAGTCACATTAAAAAAACACCAGATTCACGTTGTGGGCGAATTCGTGGTCAATGGAGTCATGATGCCACGTCGATCATGCGCTTTTGCCGCCCGTCACGCGAGAAATGCTGACGTACCTGTCACAATTGGGCATTACAGGAGGTGTGACGCGTGGCAACCAGGGCCCACGTTATCAGTGTAAATCACCCTGATGCCCTGATTAGAAGGGTGATTTTTGGTAGTAACACTGATGCTGTTGGGTAAATTTTTCGGGACCTTGATTTACCCTGATGTGCCAGGTTTTAAGATTAAGGAACACTGTCGCCTCAGGGTTGCCGTTCCGCTTATCGAGGTTTACCCTGAAGCGCGTACCAGCGAACTCCCACCCCCCCCCCCCCCCCCCCCCCCGTCCCCTAACCACCCGACCCCGGAACCAGGATTTTCCCTTTGCCAACTGTCGAAAATGTAGATTTCGGCAGGACTTTACGTGTGCTGGAACGAGGTGGGCCACCATTGGCCAGAAATACAGTTTCATTCGAGGCAAGGAGAAAGTGCCGGAGCCAGAGGAGGACAGTGACCACGAGCAACAACCTTGTGGCATGTCTGATGATGATGATTGAGCTTGTTATTGTGTGCTGTGTTACAAGAACAACTGAAACAGGGTTTTGCGAATTGGTACACTGATGCCTCAGGGTAGTCGTTTTAATATATGCAAAAACCCTGACGCATCAGGTTTTCCACAACGGGTAACCCTGAAAATCAGGTTTTTGAACAGGTGCTAGACTGATCGTAAGGGTTGGTCAAAACAAAAAATGAGCCCTGGTGGCAACGATTGATGTGCGCGAAGCGAGAGTGGCGATAGAATTCCGCGTTTTGAGCCGTACTCGAATTCGCAAAAAAATTATTGAAATTCTTCAATACTGGTCTTTACAATCCATTTTTGTGTGATTTATAAATGTCCGGGGGTCTTATGCACTCTATGCCATCAGATAAGACCCCACAGCCCATTTTGAGCACATTTAGGATAAGACCCCCGGGTCTTCTAGGCGGGAGCTCACGGTACGATGCAGTGCAGTAGAAACGATTGAGACACTTTCGATTGGGACATGTCCAGCACGGAATGTACCCTTAGAAACCCTAAGTAATGTCCAAGAAGACTTTATCGCTTGCAAGTGGAATTTCTCCATGTTCTCCTTGAAAAAGCAAACCTGAAGTTTTCTTGGTAGGTTTCCTGAGGTTCCAAATTGAACAACTGGATGCAATATGTGTGCCGATTAGAGTCAATTACAAACTCAACAGTACTGCACCCCAAGCCTCAAAGGGGGTAAAACAACTTGGGATTTCTATCAGAGAAATGCATATACCCTCCCTTGTTGACTGTACAGATGCACTCATTATCAGCCAACCTGGAACAAAACACGGAGGTGGTACATTGAACGACTAGAACAAAGACCACAATCATGTAAAAAAGTGTACCCAAAGGACAGTAGTTTGTTACTCACTGATTGCAAAGAATGGTGCCTTCCTTGTAGTTCAAACCCGTTACATGTATAGTGTTGAACACTTCAGCATCAGCTGGGCTGTTGGTAACCGCAACGACCGCTGGCCCGCGTTGGAACACCAACAAGCGGGTGGAGACGAATCGAATGTGCTGCTGCTTGTACTGCCACAGGCCCACCTGCATAGATGCAGATGCGACAAAGGGAGAGGGAGAACAAATGACGTGGCATGTACAAGAACAGGGATATTAGATGACGTGGCATGCACAGGAACAGGGATATCAGATGACGTGGCATGCACAGGAACAGGGATATCAGATGACGTGGCATGCACAGGAACAGGGATATCAGATTAGATACCTTGAAAGAAACAGACTGCTGTTCAAATAAAGCTGCAAAAGTGGGGGCAACAGGGAGGTTTTGAGGAGCATGCAGTGGGGAGCACCGTGTGCAATTAAGTTACCTTTTGCCGGAAGCGGATCACAGCAGCGAGGAAGCCGTAGAGAGGGTGGTGTGTGTTGAGGAAGGGCCAGAGGGACTCGCGGTTCTGCGGGTCAGGCCCTCCCATGAAGGCCTGAGGGAGAGGGGAAGGAGAGAAGAGAGCAGTGCAACATGAGCAAAGTGCAGCAGCGGTCAGGACATAATAACGAGGGCTGCAGATGGCAGGGCAACATCAACCACCGACCCAACCACCCATTTGACCACCCATCCACCCACCCACCCACCCACCCACCCACCCACCCACCCACCCACCCACCCACCCACGCACCCACCCACCCACTCACGCAGTGCGTACCTGCTCGGTGCCCGAGTAGACGAGCGCGATGCCTCTGGAGGTGAGCAGCAGCACCAGCGCATTCCGCAGCACCTGCTGGTCTGCGCGGTGAGAGGAAGAAGGGGGGGAGGGGAGAGGGGAGTGGGGAAGAGAAGGAAGGGAATTGTTTCTGGGGTTGACTTTTGAGACGTGTCTGAGGATGCCTCTAGAGGTGAGCAGCAGAGCAGCAGCACCAATGCATTGCACAGCAACGGCTGACTTGCATGGGTGAGAGGGAAGAGGGAGAGGGGATTGGGTAAAAGAAGAAAGGGAGTTGCATCGTGGGTGTACTTTTGAGACGTGTCTGAGCCTCTGAGGATGCCTCTGGAGGAGAGCAGCAGAGCAGCAGCACCAGCGCATTGCGCAGCAACGGCTGACTTGCATGGGTGAGAGAATCCCGGGGGATATGAGGAGGATGGGGAGGGGATGGGAAGAGGTGGACGAGCAATGGAGGAGAGGGCTGGGGAGGCAGAGCTTGTTTGCTTTGCTCATGGGACTGGGTCACTGGGGAGGCAGCACTTAGTGCATGGAGGGGTTAACCCACGCGCATGGGCTCGCCTCGCCTCACGAGGGATCCGTTCATTTCGCCTGCTGGCACACGCACGCAGCTCACTGAGCCATGTCCGGATCTCGCGGGGATCCGTTCATTTCGCCTGCTGACCCACGCCACTCTCACCTCCTTGCAGCAAAACCAAGCAAGCTTTGATCTTCGAGTTGCCTCCAATCTGTGAGTCATATGCGGCAGCTATTGAAGCAATTGCTGTACAAGGTTCCTTGGGCGATTTCTGAAGGAGCAATTCTGAAGGCGAGTTCTGTGCAATCTCTCACCTCCTTGCAGCAAGCCCAGCAAGCGGGGCGAGTCATGGTTGTCGAGGAAGCTTCCCTGAAAGTCCGCGTTCCCAGCGCCCTCAAACACGGCAGTCATGGCCCTCGCAAACTCAACCATGGACGCTGCTTCTGCAGATGCTGCCCTCCCAGCAGCAGCAGGGGAGCCAGAAGCGGCACCAGCTGCATCACCAGCAGCTTTAGCAGCAGCCGCAACAGTAGCAGCAGTTGCAGCACCTGCATCAGCAGCCGCAACGGTGGCAGCAGTTGCACCAGCAGAAGAAGCAGCAGTAGGGAAGGCTGGGAAAGCAGGGGCGGAGGAGGCAGCAGGAGAAGCAGGGACAGAGTAGCCAGCAGCAGGGCTGTGTGTGAAACCATCACTGCCTGTGTTGCCCCCTGTGAACACCCTCACCATGGCTAGCTGTAGCGCCTGCTGTAGCTCGGCTGTAGCGTGGTTCTGCAAGCAGGGAGGGAAACAGGGAGGAGGGTGTTAGAAGGAGCACCTGCAGTAGCTTGGCTGTGTCGGAGCCAATCTCTTTGAGAATTCTCACAAGTGCAGTCCTTGTGCAACAAGGAGGACAACTCTTCTCGGCTGTAGCCTGTAGCCCACACGCACACATACTTACTGTATTGCATTCGCCCTCATTGTCACAATATTCTAGGCGCATCAAGAAAGAGAACTCCCCTGGCCCCACACACATACTCACCGTGTATGCTCTCCCTGCCAGCAGGCGGTGAGGGAGCGGCAGCAAGGGGATGGAGAGCTCTGCAAAGGCTGGCACTCCAAGGTGGGAGGGAGGTGAGGGAGCCGTTGCTGTAGCGGCAAGGTGATGCTAAATGGCATGCCATGCCATGCCACCAGCACTAGCTATATGACTCACCGTGTATGCTCTCCCTGCCAGCAGGCGGTGTGGGAGCGGCAGCAAGGGGATGGAGAGCTCTGCAAAGGCTGGCACTCCAAGGTGGGAGGCGAGGGAGCGGACGAACTCGGGAGGCATGTGGTGTGCTGCATCGACTCGTATGGCGTCGAATGAGAACGTGTGCACGAGATAGGCTGGCGGGGAGGGGGGTGGAAAGGAAATGGGAGAAAAGGAAAGGAGCGGACTAGGTTGCGTGGCATGTGGTGTGCAGCAACGACCCGTACGGCGTCAAATGAGAACGTGTGCACGAGATAGGCTGGCGGGGAAAGGAGAGGGGAGTGGGGGCAAAGGAAGGACACGGAGAGGAGAGGGGAGGCGATGAGCAAACGAACTCAGGGGCCATGACCTGTGCTGCATCGACTTGTATGTCGGCTATATTGAAATGTGTGGGCATGCGCGTGGTTACAAAAGCAGCACTCACTCACCTGTGGTGAAGAGAACCATACAGCATTGGGGTGGGGAAAATTCATAGAATATTCACCCAAGAACCTAGGGGACCTTACAAGCCAAGCCACACAAGCCACTCACACTCACTCACTCACCAGTGGACCTCACGAGTGCTGCAGCCACGGTGGGATTTGATTGGTTGAAGTCTGGGAGGCTGGCGAGCCAGCAGCGCTGCCAGTTGTCGGCATCGTATTGGCTAAAGTCCACCTCACAGGGCGGATGGAAGGAGGCGCTCTGGCGTTTGGCAGTGAAGGGGGAAGAGAGAGGGAATGGGAGAGGGGAGAATGAGGTGATTGGGGGTTGAGAGAGCAGCGCAATCACCGAACAAACAAATTCCTCATATCCCTTACCTACCTGTCCTCCTGTCTCACCTCATTGAAGGGAGCATATCTGTCGTTGAGCCATGGAGGTGGGCGAATCCCCTCCTGCCACGTGTCACACGGCCCCCCACCCTGAGGACAGCCCACGTGGTTGAGAACCACTGATTGGTGGCGTGAGGGGGTGGGAGAGGACGAGATGAAGAGAGGAGGAGAGGAAGAGGAAAGGAGGAAAGGAGCCTTGGGCCATGGGGGAGAGAGTATCCCATGGGTGAGAACAATGTGGTGAAAATAGAAACTCCATGCTATGCCATGGCGTCCCATGCTATGCCATGGCGTCCCATGCCATCCCATGCCGTCCCATGCCGTCCCATGCCGTCCCATGCCTTCCCATGCCGTCCCATGCCTTCCCATGCCGTCCCATGCCGTCCCGTGCCATGCCATGCCATGCCAGGAATGCAACCCACCATCGATCATGACCAGAAAGCCCATGGCATGAGCCGCATCCTCGGGAGTACCGAGATGAGGGTTGATGGCCGTCTGGCAGAGCAAGGAATGGAAGGGCGCGCAGTGGAAAGGACAGACGGCAAAGAGACGAATGGAGAAGGGGGCAGGAGGAAAGAGGGGGTCACCAAGCCTTTGAGCTCAGCGGCAGCACTGCAATGGAACGCCTCAGAGGTGCCGCAACATATCTCCCCCTCTTGCCCCGCACTGTTCCCCCTTGCCACGCATGAGGCATGGCCAAGCTCGCAGGCCGGTGGCAGTGGTACCCGCACAAGCTGTTACCCGTTATACAAACCACATACCAATTCACCAACCATCACGCCACATACCTCCGGATTCCCTTCCTCCCTCTGCTCCGGCATGATTATTGAGTCGACTTGAAAGATCGACCCGTTATACATACCACATACTGCTTGACCAAGCATCATGTCACACACCTCCGGATTTCCTTCCTTCCCCTCTGCTCTGGCATGTGGCATGGCAAAGCCGCGAGGCCAGTAGCCGTGATAGCCATAGGGGCTGTTGACTGTTACCGGGCCGATCAGCAGCGCGTCAAAGCCCATGCCTCGAATGTCTGGCGCCAGAGGCGGGTGTTGGGAGGCGAGGAAGTGGGGAGAGAGGAGGAGAAGGCAGAAAGAGAAAAGGGAGAGGGGGAGAAGAACGATGGGAGAAGGGAGAGGGGGAGAAGAATGATGAGAGAAGAGAGAGGGGGAGAAGAACGGTGGGAGAAGAGAGAGTGGGAAATTAAAAAGGTTCGGATAACACCGGCTCTGCCAGGTTCTTCGTCACCTATTCTCAAACCAAGGAAACATAAGAGCTCGGACTCAAGGCCCCTTACACTTTGGCATGGCACTAGGCACGTACCTACCAATCAGCATGACTATGTAGAGTAAACTACCACTCACTCACAGGGCAAGTGCTGCCTCATTCCCGTGAACGTTCCTCCTGCACCCTCGTGGCAAAGCATGATTGGATAACAGAGCAAGTGTGTCACAGTTTGTTTTGTAATTCTTGGGCACAAACGCCCGCCAGTTGCTAGACAGACAGCATGTGCATGAATCTCGAGGCGACTAAAGAGTTGTGATGTGACCATTGGATACATATGTGAGACGTCCGCCAGAAGCTAGACAGTACGTGCATGATGCTTTCTTTGAAAACATAGTGGCTGTTATTTTTGTTAATTTGAAAAGAAAGATTCCAATATAGCTGCTCTGCATATCCCCGTCGCCAATAGACAGCATGTGCATGATGCTTGATTTTGTGAATGCGGATGCTGTTGTTGCTGGAGAGAGAAGGCTAGACATTAAGATTCGCGCAAATCTGAAAGAAACAGGTATCCGACTCGTGGGGGGTTGGTATTACCGCAATAATCAGAGAGCGTGGCGCACTGTTGTTGGGATAGAATGGGCTTGGGAGGAGCAAATCTGTCGACAAACACCTAGTGGGTGGGGGGTTGTGGGAAAGAGGGAAGGGGTGGAAGGGAGAAGGAGAGAGGGGTTGGAAAACAGCGAGAGAGGGGGCGATGGGGGAGAGGGTGATGGGCCGCTTGGGAGGAGCAAATCTGTCCACAAACACCTGGTGGGTGCAGGGGGGTTAGGAGAGAAGGAAGAGAGGGAAGGGAGAAGGAGAGAAGAAAAAAATCAGTGCAAGAGGGAGAGAGAGGCAGAGAGGGGGGGAAGGGGGGGGAGGAAAAGAGAGCGAGAGCGTGTTGGAGAGGTGCGAGAGGGGGAGAGAGCGGGAGAGACCGGGCGGGGAGGGAGAGAGAGGGGGAAAGCGAAAGAGAACGGGAGGGGCGGGAAGAGAGGGGGAGCAGTGGTTTTGATGATGACAAACGGCACATGACATCTGGCATGTGGGTAGATCTAGCAGCAGGCTGTGGGGTGACACGAATCGCGTGGTACCAGAGTAACACCAGTCACATGGTAGCACAGTAACACCACTCTCCCATAGTACCAGAGTAACACCAGTCACAGTAACACCACTCACATGGTACACAACTCGCGACTGCCAGCTGGCAACAGCGTCCCTAAGCGCCAACGACTCGCCGCTGTAAACCCTCTCCCCAGCGAGCGGATCGGATTCAGATGCTTGTAACGAGACGGACCAGAGGGTACGCAGCCATGCGCACGCTGTGAACAGAACTGCCAAGGCAACGACCGAGGAAGCTACGAGGAAGGAGAGGAGGAAGGCCTGGGAGGACGGCGAGACGCGGCGACCGTGATGAAGGTGAGAGGTGGCGAGATGGTGGTGATGGAGATTGGGATGGACGGCCATGATGAAGCAAAGAGAATCGCTAGTTTATTTGGACGAGGATAGGATGATTTTTTCGGATGAATGCTCCTTATTCACAGATATTCACGTTTAATAATGGACCTAGAGCATCAGGTCCCGACTCATGATCTCGGTGCAGCAGAATCGACGACGTGGAACGCGAAATTGTCTGGAATAACAGACTGGCTTCGTGACATCGGGTAACATCGGGATTTTCACTGCTGCAGGCAACTGCGAAACAACCGCTGCTCTGCCTTGAAAAAGCGTCGATATGGTAAACCATCGTAGCCTTCGCTCGTTTCGAGGATTCTCAGAATTTGCATCCAACGTAGATGCTTGCTATGTTGCCTGTGTCTATCCAGACTATCATGAAGGTGCGCTTGTGCGACCATGGCGTCGCAATACGGAAGGGTGGATGGTGTTATCGTCGTCCTCCTACTCCTCTTCGTCCTCCTACTCCTCGTCGTCCTCCTCGTCGATTCTCGAACTACACGGTGCGTGGGAGCGAAGGGAATGAACGGGCTGCTGAAAGGCTGGAATAGAACGGGTTTTCGTTTGGGTATAGCCCGTTCTTGAGACGGTTTGTTGAGGATACGCATTGGTCTCTCCGAAGGGAGACTGTTTATGGGCGAATGAAGACCGCCAGTTCGAGAAATATAGCAGCACCAGCTGTTTAGAGAAGCAACATCACCACCAAAAGCTATTTTGAAGGTATCAAGAAGAAATCTGGGAATGATGTTGAGCCAGGAAGACTGGAAGTTTGACACGAGCCAGGAACGAAACCTCTAGCCAAATTGAGCGCATCCGTGTGCTGTGCAGGCGCTGTCAAAAGTGGAGGGCGTAGGTATATGGTGGTGTAATTTAGCGGATACAATCAGGAACGTCTAGTGTTCAAACTTAATCGGAACTCGGCTGGTAACTAATTTGTCACCCTACTTCGGAAGGTCATTTTTGTTGTGAAAAGAGATCATGTTCCCGCGCAAAAGTATTTTTTTTTTTAACCCACACTTACGAGAACAGACGAGCGCACTTAAGAGTACTGACTTTCAAGTCCAGATTTGCTAGAACTGCTACTAGAATCTGGCGGCAAAACACGAAAGACTTCCAACAGTCACTGCCAACTGTGCAGGCTTTCTCGTTAAGCCACCCAACCAACCACGGTGCGAGAAACGCCTTCGTTCATTCGCAATCTGCTTTTGCGAAAACATAACAGCCTCGACCTTCGAAAGGTCCAAAGTGTAAGGGCGCGTAACCATTTTGCATTTTACGATTTTGACGGATACGCTTAAAACGAAGTGGACGGTCCACTTATCGAGAACGGGACCGTCCGACTGACTTTTTTGAAACTTCGGACTGTCCGAAGACAGTTGTGATACTTTTTTCCTAATGTACAGTTTCGCGGTCGCTGTACAAGCGTTACGAAATTCTCTCAAGCTCGCAGATGTCGTTATCGAATAATTTTTGTTTATGGGATGTCTCTGGTTGGTCAATGTCGATTCGTGAAGTAGCCTCGTACGTTTTTGTTGGTGGACGAGGTGACTCGACAATTTTTGCGTCGCCCTCCAATCGTGTGCAAGGACTGTCGGACAGTCCGTTTGGGATTCGGACTGTCCACGGTTCAGATTTCGGACCGTTGAAAGTGGGAAAAAGTGTCACTACAGTCCGTTTTGTTGGCGATGTCGCCAACACCTTAGCGAACACATTTACGACATTTTGTGAAGTTTGTTACCGTTTCGCCATCCGGACGGTCCACGGTTCGAACCGTCGGGTGCAAAATGGTTATGCGCCCTAACCACAAGTCCCATACATCCCATTTCACAAGGAACCTTGTCCCTCCACTGCTCGCCTCGGTCGGCACTTCCAAGGTTGACCCACCATCCATTTCTTTCTCGTGTGCGTGACAGAGTAGCTCAGACCCTGTCAACGCAGCGTCGCGGGAACACTCGCGATGACGTCAGAGGCGGCGCCAGGTCAGCTCGGCGCGCGATGGACTCCTCCGGGAGGTGGCGCTGACGGGAAGGCGAGAGGGAGTAGCGGTGGTAGTACCGGTGGTGGTCTGCGTGTGAATAACAGCCTGTGCAACGAGAAAGTGCCGTTCGTTCCGCAAAACGGACGACGAGGTAGGTCCGACCGCCATTGCGAAACCAGACGATCTATCATTTACGAAAGGTATGTTGGGGGTTGTGGATCCGTCGATAACGCGAATCGAGATCGTTGACTGGATTGAATAGGTCGTCGCATCGAACATTGCAGTCGCGTGGCGTTTGTTGGTAGTGTGTGCGAGAAAACCCATCAATTTTTAAGATTGATGATCTAAGTATACTCGAAGTGGAAACAACTGACGTTCCGTCCCCACCCTTTCGTTACAGTCACGTGGTACATCTGCGGTCCTACAGTGTACGACTCGTCGCACATCGGCCACGCGCGAACGTACCTCTCCTTCGATATTATCCGCCGCATTCTCGAGGTGATTTTAGTTCCTTACAGTCACACGCTTTTCTTGTCTGTGAGGTGATCATTCCGTTAATTTCAGCCTCTTTGTGCTTCTCTGCTATCTTCGTTTGTCTTGTACCGAACAGGACTATTTCGGGTATGACGTGTTCTATGTGATGAACGTGACTGACGTGGACGATAAAATCATTGTACGGGCCAGAAGGGATTACCTCATCAAGCAGTACCTCCACGCCACGTCAGATGCCGCCCAGGTGCGCTACCTTGCACACGTCGGTTGTCGTTCAGAGGCTATTTCGACAGTCATTTCCATTTTTCTCAACTCAACCTCTTATAGTATCAATCTTTACCTTTCTTCCCCAATCGTCTCCATCATCCACCCTCCACCCTTTCCTCTCCCCTTCCCAAGTGCAGGTCTTGGCAGACACGCAAGAAGCCCTATCAACAGCAGTGGAGAAGCAACGGGGTGTGGTTGAGGGGTTGAAGACGACAGCTGAGGGGGAGAGCAACGAGAAGAAGAAAGAGACGCTACTGCAGCAGGCCGCACAGGAAGAGCTTAAACTGCAGCAGCTGGAAGGGGCGGCGAAGGCTGTCTTGGAGCGGCTGGGTCCCGCGTGCGTGGCGGCTGGCGGGCGGCGAGGAGTGTCTCTTCTGCTGGGGCGGCGGGCCGAGGAGGTGGAGGCGAAGGAGGGGGGAGCGGTGGGTGATGAGGGACGGGTTAATGGCACAGCAGCCAATGGGGCTGGAGCAGCAGCAGCAGATGGGGAAGCAGCAGCAGGTGAAGCCGCAGAGGGTGACAAGATAGCAGCAGAGGCGGCAGCAGATGCACTGGCAGCGTCGTTGGATGCGAAGCTGAAGGCGACTGTCACTGATGTCTCCATCTTCAGACGCCTGGCTGCCAAGTGAGTGAGTGAGTGAGCGAGTGAGTGAGTGAGTGAGTGAGTGAGTGAAGAAGTATCCTGTTGCTTTCCGTCCCATTTCTTGTCACTTCATTTGTAAATCGTCCCATTCTGATGTTTTTCACTTTTGTACCCAAAACCCTTGTTAACAGGTACGAAGTGGAGTTCTTTGAAGATATGAAGGCGCTTGGAGTGCGGCCACCTCACGTGCTGACACGTGTCACAGAGTACGTGCTGAGATGGCACGAGTACGTGCTGAGATGGCACGAGTACGTGCTGAGATGGCACGAGTATGTGCTGAGTCTGAGATGACACGAGTACGTGCTGAGCCTGAGATGACACGAGTATGTGCGGAGATGACACGAATATGTCCTGGATTACATATTATTTGAACAAATTAAGATCACTGGCATGACAGTTTCTTTCAGAATAAGTTCATGCCAATCACAACAAGACAGGCAATCTGTTTGGTTAAGTCGCCTCTTGCTGCCGCCCTCACAGCGCACTCATCCTGCAACAGCCCTCAAACCCCTCTTCTTGTCCTCCCCCTGGCCGAATACTAAGCCGGCTCAAAGTCACTTTCCCGTTGCTGCCCGTCTGCCCTGTCTGTTCATCCCCCGCGCCCTCTGTCCCCCCTTTCCCTCCCCTCTCTTCATACTTCCCCCTTCCATCCAGGTACATCCACGCTATTGTGAACTATGTGGACACGATTATTAAGAATGGCTGTGCGTATGCCACCAATGGCAGCGTCTACTTTGACACCAAGGCCTTCAAGTGAGTTCGCTCGGTGGCGAAGAGGTGACATGTGTGTGTATGTGTGAATTGAAGCCTCGTTTTGCGATTTGGCTCCAGATTCTGTGTGTATGCCATCAACGGGAGTGTCCACTTTGACACCAAGGCCTTCAAGTGAGTTCACCAGGTCATGGCGGCGTGACGTGTGCATATGTGTGCATTATTGCCTGTTTTGTTACTTGACTTCAAAATCCTTGCATCATGCCATCAACGAGACGAGAGTGTCTACGTCGACACCAAGGCGTTTACGTAAGTTTACTAGATGGAGGCGACATGTGTGCGTATGTGTGATTGATAACCTGTTTTGTAAGTTGACTCCACAGTCTTTGCATATGCTTGCCATCAACAGGAGAGTCTCCTTCCCCTCTCCTCTCCCCCCCATTCTCCCCTCTCCCCCCCACCCTCCTTCCCCTCCCTTCACCTCCAACCCACTAAAGGGAGTCAGGCCACATGTACGGGAAGCTCTGCCCGTGGTCCGTGGGCAGTGCTGAGCTGGCAGCAGAGAGCGAATCAGACTTTGCCACGTCAGAGAAGCGCAACCGCAGCGACTTCGCCCTGTGGAAGGCCAGCAAGGCCGGGGAGCCATCGTGGCCGTCGCCTTGGGGCGATGGACGGCCAGGATGGCACATTGAGTGCTCAGCCATGGCCTCAGATATCGTTGGGTTCCCCATGGACATTCACTCTGGGGGCATGTGAGTGGTGGGAGCGG